CACATCTCTGTGAGCTCATGGCCAGCCTGGTCTACAGAGCCAGTCCATGACAGCCAAGGATACACCTTTGAGTGAGAGACCCAGTCTCAAAAAACACACAAGCAAAAATATAAAAATTTACCCAGGCCCATAGAGATGCAAATTGGAACTACAAAAGTTCAAAGGTCAGAAAAACAAGACCGGTCAAGTTTGTGAGTTAACTCTTCCAGCAGGTAATTTTTACAGCAGGACCTTAGCTGAAATTTGGAGTGTTGTTCTAATAACTAACTGGACCAGCTTCTGATACGTGCTGTTTCTTTATCTCTTCATAACACATTCATGAGACATTCCCAACTCAGATAACGTGTGTTCCTGAGAAACCTACTCCATAAGTGAATGCCTTCCTTCAAATAGTGCTACATATCTATAATGTTTGCTTTATTTTTAAAAATCCAGTATTATTCAATCAATATTTGTTTTGTGTCAGTATTTTGCACCTGACCAAAACTATTTGTGTGACAGAACAGATGCTAATGAGATTTTTGAAATGGATGGCTCTGAGGAAGGGCCATAAAAACAAAGTGGAATTTACAGTCAACATGCTTAAAAAAAAAAAAAAAAAAAAAAAAAAAAAAAAAAAAAAAAAAAAAAAATATTATAAAAAAAAAAAAAAAAAAAAAAAAAAAAAAAAAAAAAAAAAAAAAAAAGAGCTGTAAGAAAGAAAAGTTACTAACATCTGATTAGAAGGTAACTGATAGCAAAAATGTTGGTTTTTAGTCCAATTAAGTACAAAAGCAACAGATCTGATGCGTTACAAAGTTCTCTTCCAATGCAAAAGTTTCCATCTAAATTTAATTGAGAAGTAATAAAGTTCCCATCTGACTTGTGCCATTCAAGTCTTTTCTAGCAATAACTTCTAACATTTGTAATAATATGCCAGGAACTGTTCTCAGAGTTTTGCATGTAGTTTTTATCTTCTCCTGGTGGGGGGAGGGAGGCATGGGGTAAAATACACTGGTCCTATTTCATAGGTGAAATAAGTAAGGCAGAAAACATTAAGAGTAAATTTCCAAAGGTCACATGAGCAATCATTTGTGGATACAAAATTTTACCAAGTGGTCTGGCTCCAGCTCATTACAATAAAGCTACCAGTAAGCTAACTATATAGCCAATTGCTCTTCATTTGAAAAGGTGTAGACACTGAGGCTCTGTTGACTAAGAATGCACACTCTGTTTCCTAGTAGCTATGTGGCATGAGTGTGTTAGTGACCTTCTCCAAGCTTCAGTGAGATGGGAGTAATGGAGAAACATGTCTTCCTCCACAGGCCTACCCGTAGGGTTTAGGAGGCACTACCCATGTAAAGTGCTCGCAGGGTGCCTGGTATTCTAGTACTGCATACATCGTAAGACTCATCTTCATTTTCATAAACTCTCCTCAGAGGTAGTATTTTCTAAAGCAAAACTCACCAACATAAAGATAAAAAGAAAAACTGAACCAGACCCAGTAACACACAGCTGCTGTCTCGGCACTGGGGAGGCTAAGGTAGGAGGATTGTGAACGTGAGGCCAACATGATACAAGGCAACCCCCACAGGGACTTAGACATACATGAGAATGTGTTGAGTATTGCAGGAACTTACGACAGTCAGAACAACTTACTGCAGCACAGACACAGAAACCAAAACCTCTGTCTCTGGGCTTTCCTCCTAACCAGATGCACCACTGTTTTTTAAGTTTTCCTTTGCTTCTGAAAGTGTTATCAAAAATAGGCAAAGAAGCCTGAAAATACTCCTCCTCCCAAATCTAGTGTGAAACAATGGAGATTCTTTCAGAAGAAAATGAACTTCAGGCTCTTAACCTTATCTCCCCAAATATTTTAGCTATCTAGGACTAATGATCTCTTTTAATCAAGCTGAAGAAAAAGGGCAGTAAGAGCTAGAAGCTCAGAAGAAAGAGGTAGAGATACAAATTAAGAGAGTAGGAATGAATTAGAAAAGGAAAATACTGGTTAAGTCTAAGGAAAACGTGTTTTATTCTGCATTTTACCATGTGCCTCAGAACAAATCAACTGGTTGCTTCTAAGGTTGTCTATCCTTACATTTTAGCTTATAAAACCAGTAAAAAGAAATGTACAGAGCACAGGAGGATTTCTGTCTAAGGGCAAAACCAACATTATACTATGTATCTTATAGCTTGGCTTTCAGATCAACTCTAGGAACAATGGCTAAATCTAAAATATTTCCATGTGCCACTGGAGGAAACCTAGGTACCTAGTTTCTAAATGATAGGAGCATTTCTAAATCATTTTCAGTAGTCGTTCTATTTGAAGATATTTTGCCACGCCACAACAGGGAATAATACTGTGCCTGTTTCCATATAGATCTGCCGTGTCCCTATAGGATAAATCCCTCTTTTTTACAAGATACAGTCACAGAAACCCACACAACGTTGCACTGCTGCATCCAGTTTTATAACACAGTAGAATTTATTGCCTACAAATCAATATAATACTTTGTTTTAAAAATGCGAAAGTACTTTTCAACATTAAAGCAGCCTGTGCAAACCAAAAACTCAGCTCATATAAATAAAACCATGTTAGAAATTAATAGGTAATTTGTTTTCCCGGGGGTTCTTCTTACAGTAAAAGAGGAACCACCTCTGCCTGTGCCCTCGTGCACTGGCAGTCTGCACACTCTGTTGGACACTTGCCTACTGTCAAGCAGACCTCCAGTTCTCACCTGCACTAACCAAGCCAAACAAGTTCAAGTGTAAACTCTATCTGCTACTGTTTCTGTTCTTGTAGCTCATTTAGGAAGATAAGGTGTCTTTAGGAAGAAAGAAAAATTCTTGACAAAAAGTCTTCAAAATTTTATAAGCATGTACTTCTTTTTTCCTAAAATCTTGATAACAAAATAACAGACAAGAATTTACTATTTTTAGTTTTATAATAGGAATCAAATATTATCTAAAGCAGTCATTTAAAATCCCCTGTCTCAGTTTGGCAATGGTGGCGCACACCTCTAATCCCAGCACTCGGGAGGCAAAGGCAGCTGGATCTCTGTGAGCTGGAGGTCAGGGTGGTCTACAGAGCTGGTTCCAGGACAGCCAAGGATACACGAAGAAACCCTGTCTTGAAAAAAACAGAATAAACAAACAAACAAACAAACTGATAAATAAATAACCTTGTGCCTCTGCTTCCCAATTGCTGGGTTACAGACATATGCTATCATATCTGAGTAGGAAAAACTCTTGATCAAATAGCACCTAAAGTGGATAAAATTTTATAACCAGAATCAGGCCTAAATATAAATGACTATTAACTCAACTTTGTACAACAATAACAGAAATTCATATGAACATTTGTTCATACAGACTATGTGCAGAAAAGCTTCGGGCACAATAAATCCATAAAGTAGGTGCACAGGTCAGAAAAGAACAAGAAAGACAGATACTTGTTTGTTCTGAACTGGTCGCAGTTTAGCCTCTGTCATGTCTACCAGGAAAAAATGCCCTCACCTAGGTGCCTTGAATTTAGGCAAGTGCCAACACAGCATTGTTTTTTGGTTTTTAATTTTCTCTGTAACGGCCTAGAAAAAAAATCTCTTGAAGACACAGGAGCATGTGTTTTCTTCTTCTGCGATCCTGTCCTGTGGCGTGGCACAAGAATTATGACGGGGAACAACTGTGAATAACCCTGTGAGGCTAGTGAGTGGCACAAAGACCTCCTCGTGTTGTCTTCCCTCCCCCAACAGCTATTTTTCTTTCTTTCCTATAATAATTAGCAAGTAAAACAGGCTGGAAAAGGTCAAAAGAGCATGTAATGTGTGTAGTAATGCACAAAAGATAACACCTTGCAAATGTCAAAAATACAGGTTTAATAATGTGCAACTAATGAAGACTGTTTATAAATTAAATGCCACCTACTACACATTTGGTCCCTAAATATATTATGCTATTAGTCATTAAAGTTAGACCTATAAGTACAAATTTCCCATCTGTAGAAAAGTAATCTGTTTTTAAATTAAAGAGAAATCATTACTTCTTAAAAATAAAACTATCAGGCTATAATTCAAGTGTAGCTGCTCATAGTCACTGAGTAAGTTGGATAATAAAACATTTAAGTTTCAACCAATGTACCTGTGTTGAAGCACATTTAGCTGAAATAACTTTTAGTCTGGTTTATTTTCATCACGTATAGTACATTTTTCCAACATAACATGTACATTCAATATAGAACATTTCCAGTAACAATTACAGTCTTTCTAATTTCCTTTCACAGTATATTCTAGTGCAAAGCACTGAGAAGGGTAAATGTTTTTCTAACTATGAAGCATTTTATTATGAGCTTCTAGATCTTTGACATTTAAAATTTATACAAAAAGTATACAGATGGACAGGGTCCATTCTAAGTACAGCTGTGAACCTAAATAAAAACATGGTATATTTTCCGCAGTACCTTTTCAAATAATTTGACACAAATTACTAAAAAATAAAATATTCCCTAAAAGTACAAAATATTGATACACAAAAACCTGCCCAAAATTTCATAAAGATAGATGTATTTCTTTTTTCCTAAAATCTTGATTACAAAAGATGGACAAGAATTCATTATTATCAATTTTATGGTAAGAATCAAATTTATCTAAAGTGGTCATTTAAATTTTTTCCTTGGGGGGAAAAATTAAGACGGACACCCCTATCTTCTTTTCCAGCAACATTTAAGGAAATAAACTAGAAACATAGCAAGTGGTTGCACAAGGATTGTCTGCATCTATGGAATATCAGAACACTACTTATTACCTTCATATAAACAGTAGCAAATGTGGGTCCTGTTAAAATTGGAACTGAGAAAGAAGGCTGCATCTATCATTAAAGTGCTTTATATAAAATTTAAAGAAAAATAGGGGAATGTTTAATTTTCATAAAAAAGTCTGATGTTTTCAAGTGATAAATGTAATAATGATCTATGCATAAAATTAACTGGAACTTTTTTTGTTGTATATATTTTAGAATAAAACTTTCAAACATTTAAGTGCTTAAAAAAAACTCAAATATAAATGGATGCAAATAATTATAAATATTCAGTAGGCTACTAAATATTCATAATATATTGATACTAATTTGTCTTTTGGTCCTACTAACATATTCTCTACAAAGATGGTATTTTATCTATACAATCTAGATAAAATTTTCCATGTAAAGTGAAATAAACTTAAACCACTAAAAATACAAAGTTTATATCAATTAAAAACTATTATTTTCTTCAGGTTGTTGATCAACAAATTATCAACAAATTATCTGGAAAGTGAAATCCCAACATTTTGTAGAAACTGTAGACCATATGTACCAGGTCTACCAGGAGAACATGTAATGTCACGGCTACTTGCAAGTGCTGGGAGGGGCCTTGCCTTAGAAACTGGTTAGATGGTTACTGTTTTAGTCAGATCAGCAGTTACAGTTGAAAACTTATGAAAGTGCTCTCTTTTTTCTCATAGTACCATTTGAAGACGTTTAGTAGTTCTAACAACTTAAAGTCTTTCCACAAAAATGAACTCCAAACCTTTTCGTACATCACTTGAAGTTATCTGAGGAGAAATAGGAATAAATGAACACTTTTGAGTTTACCAATAAAACCTTGGTCTTAAATTACACAACAATAAGTAACTTCTAAAGGATGGGTTCATCTTAGGTTTTCCACACAAGTGAGAATAATGGGATAACCAAGCCATATTAACAGCCTAAGCACTCAAACTAAGAACTCTGCTTTAGAGCCTGTATCTCAACTTGTTGACTGAGGACAGTAAATGTCTAATTGCAAGGGACACGGGAGCCGCAAGCAAACTTTAAAAATATATAGACTTAAAAACATCAAGGAGCCTACTCCTTATTCTGCATTTTAAAATAATGTTTGTATTCTTTCTTCCAAATAGGGGTTTTGCTTTCCTTTTGGTTTCTGTCTCTCTCTTCCTCCCTCTCTCCATATCTCTCTCTCTCTCTCTCTCTCTCTCACACACACATACACACACACCTCACCACTACTGAATAATACTAACTACGTTGAAATGATCACTTGTAAGTTTATTAAACAGAAAGGGAAACAAGAATATATGCACCTAAAAAAAAAAATCTTTCCCTTTTAGATCAAAACTTAAAAACTCTCCAACACATAATCCCAAAAAGAAGAAAAAAATTCCAACTTTTGTTTACTAACTTTCCCCTTTCCCCACAAAGCAGTGTGCTAAAAGTAACTAATAAATGTTAATTCTTCTAAATTCTATCTGGGGATTTCCTAAGTGCTACACTTTATTTAAGCATTACAAATTTTTACAATAATTACAATGCCTCAAAATGTTTTTCCTAGAATTATCTCCTTCATAAATTCACTTTAATATATTTAAATTTCCTACAATGGATTAGGATTAGTAGACTAAATAAAATTAGTAGACTGAGTCAAATTAAATCTGTGCAAGTTAGTTAAACACGAGACTTCTATGTAAACATAGACCGAAATAAATGGATCTATTTTACAACACTAAAACAAAAGCACTGACCCTGCGTCCTCCACCTACAGCTAGACTGCATCACCCTGTGAAAGGCAAGTTCTCAAGTTAACTGTGTTCCCAAGCTACTGGAATTAAGGTCACTGAGAAAAAGCAACAGCCGCCTCTTGCAGCTCCTACCGCTGTATGACTTATGGAAGAAAATGTATGTTAAAATAGACCCAGCTATAAATTATGGCCAAATGACTGTGCTTAGTTCCACAGGGGAAGGGGGACAAAACTCTGTAACTGTTCCTCACCAGACAAGAGCCTTAGATCTTGTACTTCGGCCTTTGGTTTTGTTTCCTTCAGGTGAACTGGTAGCATTTGCCTTATGAGTTTTCTTATGATGTTCAAGGTAAGTCTTTTTGGCAAATGCCTTTCCACATTTATTGCATCTGTGAAGAGAAAAGTTTTTTGTGACTTTCACTTCAATACCGACGTCAGCTACTTCATACTTTTTACTAGGAGAATTGGAAGTGGTGTCCTGTTTTGAATCGTTGTGTTTTGCTTCATCCCTCGAAGGGCCTCTCTTTGCCACTTTGTTCAGAACAAAATCGATGGGCTTTTTTATCGCTCTGATCTCTAAACTGGCTGTTATCTTCCCCAGGTAGCGGGATGACTTTTTATGGACCACAGTTATGTGTCGAATCACATCACGTTTCCGCCGAGTTTCGTAAGTGCAGAGGGGACACTTGTAGAATTTAACATAAATGTTATTTCCATCTGTGTGTAACTCAATGTGTTTAGTCAAGTTCTGCTTGGAGGTAAACTGCCGTTTACAGAGTTTACAGTAAAGTTGCTTAAAGTCAAAGCCAGCGGAAAGTTTTGGTTTCCTGGTCTTTTGCTGGCCACCTGCAGCCGAAGGACTAGCTGACTTAGGGCTTTCAGAGTCCTGTTTAACTTTATTTTTCTGTGTTGCTGGTGTGTTCTTCTTTTCATTTGAATGATTTGTTCCCTTTAGTTCATTCTGTGGAGAATGGGTAATGGAAGGGGGTGAAGATTCTACAGAATCTGTTGGTTCGACTGTAACTTTTACTTCTGAACTGTTGGCGGTATTATTGTTAGGGCCTTTCTCTCTTTTAGAGTTTGCTCCAGAAAGAGTTATCTTGTGGACAATTTGCATATGTCTCTTAAGCATTATTTGTGAACTATATTTCCTCTTGCAAAGGAGGCATTTGCATGCAGTTAAATTGTATTCAGCCTTTGAAGACTTTTGCTTTCGAGTCTTAAAAGATTTTTTAGGGGACGCGGAATCCAGGAACAAAGGCTGCCCAGGCTTTGTCGCTATATCAGGAGTAATTGAGTCCCTCCTCAGTCCTCTATGAACTTCATCAAAATGCCTCCTTACATTCGCTTTTGTAGCAAATGATTTACAACAAACGGGACAACTCCTACTCAGTGAAACCAGAACACTCTTGCTGCGTCCTTTTGAAGGCTGGTTGGGAGCCTTCCGTGTCTCGATGTATTTCTTTAGCTCTTCCATCTTCTTCTTGTGTACTTTTCGAATGTGTCGGCGAACACCACGTCTAGAATTGAATTCTTTTCTACAAAGACAACAAATCAACTGGTGACCAAGGTCGGAACTGTCAGATGTCTCCACGTCGGCCTGTGCTTCCTGAGGCTGCTCCTCGGTGGGAGGCGCAGCTTCCTCTGCAGCGGTCTCTGCAGGCGGGGGCTCCACAGCCTCCACCACCTGTGGGTCTGGATCGGGGACTGCTTTGGGCTGCTCAGGGCCTGTCTCCTGTATCTCAACTTCAGTCTGTTCAGGGGTACTGCTTGACTCTGTGACTTCAGCAGGATTGTCAGTCCTTGAAATATACTGAAACACTGCATTCTGGTTGGTCTCTATGGGTTCTAGCTTGATGATATATTCTCTCTTGTCTACTCTTGGGTAGATGGCTTCTAGGAGATCACTTATGGCTTGGCTTTGTTTATCATTTACATCAGGAAGATCTGTTAAGGAAAAACAAAACTATTGTTTTTAACCTGAAATAATTAACCTGTCTTAACCCTCTAATATTTTAAATTACATAATGAAACATCTTTAAGTAATACATGTTTCTTTTTATAGCAATATCTACTTTTCAGCATTTCATGAACATAAAACATAGTTATGACCTAAAACTTTGCTTAAATTTATCAGACTAAGAAAGGTATACTCTGAAGAGCTACTCATGCTTCTAAGTTTCCTTATTATAAAATCACAAGCACATGGATTGTCCTAAACAATAAAAATACTATCACTTATTTTTAGTCTGAAATTTTTAGAGTACCAAAGCCAACTCAAGTTCTTCCAACCCAGGATGGATAAAATATCAGCAAGGATGTTACTATATATATGACTTTTAATACAATATGGTAGTATACTAGTTAATGTAAGCCTTAATAAACAATGTAGATTACTTCCATTGGGACAGTAGAACATCTCACAAAAATAAAAAATATTTGCAAGTCAACATAAATGGCATGAGGTATGAAAAACACAATTTTTTCAACAAAACAAAACTTTAATGAAACACCTGGCTAGGAACTATCCATTAGCCTAGTTGTGTAACGGCAGCCCCAGTACAGGCAAGCAAACAGTCTGCCGCAACAAGGCTGCGTATATGCGGGTTCTAGAGACACAAACTCTGATCCTCAGGCTGGTGACAAGAGCCATCTTCCTAGCCCTTCTTTCTTCTTGTAAATAGTAGTGAGTGAGGTAACACTTTCATGACAGTATATGTAAAACCACCAAGAAAATGCACAATAATGTGGCAACTCCATTTATCAACTATGCTATGTAAATTACCTCTACAACTTAATAATGAAGAACACCAACAAATAAAACACCACTTTAATTAAAATGTTAGATTTTAAACTAATTTCTCTAGACTACCCTTTAATTTATAGCTCAGTAATAAAAAGTTCAATAAGATCAAATACAAGCGCATGATTATCTTCAACACTAAAAATGTTATTATTTTTAGTCTCAAACCTTTAGATTGACAAAACCAACCTAAGGTTTCCATAACCCAGGATGAATAAAACACCATGAAGAATGTTATCATAAAAGAGTTTCCATAAAATATGACCATATCTTAGCATAAAAGTTTCTATACAAATATGAGTATTTATTTTATCTGTACCCTATACTACACTTTAACATAATTTACTAATTTAAAAAATACTGCTATTCAGTTTTTACATTATATCTCCCTATCAAAAAACTTTTCTAAAACAGTAAGTTTGAGTGTAGATTTTAGTTATGGTTTATCCTATATTATAAGACTAATATCCACCTATGAGTGAGTATATACCATGTGTGTCTTTCTGTTTCTGGGATACCTCACTCAAGATGATCTTTTCTAGTTCCCACGATTTGTCTGCAAATTTCATGATTTCCTTGTGTTTAATAGCTGAAGTATTCCATTCTGTAAATGTACCACAATTTCTGTATCCATTCTTCCATTGAGGGACAGGGAATCTTATGAAAAAGAGGAGTTGGAAAGACCTGGAGGGGGCAGGAACTCCACAAGGAGACCAACAAAACCAAAATATCTGGGCCTAGGGGTCTTTGCAAAGACTGATACTCCAACCAAGGGCCATGCATGGATATAACCTAGAACCCCTGCTCAAATGTAGCCCACGGCAGCTCAGCCTCCAAGTGGGTTCCCTAGTAAGGGGAACAGGGGCTGTCTCTGACATGAACTCAGTAACAGGCTCTCTGATCACCTCCCCCTGGGGGTGTGGAACAGCCTTACCAGGCCACATTGGAAGACAATGCAGCCAGTCCTGATGAGACCTGATAGGCTAGGGTCAAATATAAGGGGAGGAGGACCTCCACTATCAGTGGACTAGGGGAGGGGCATAGGGGGAGAAGAGGGAGAGAAGGTACGATTGGGAGGAGATGAGGGAGGGGGCCACAGCCAGGATACAAAGTGAATCAATTGTAATAAATGATAATAAAAAAAAGCTTCTCCCCCCCCCCAAAAAAAAAGTGAGTTTGAGTTTAAAAATGTAAAAGATCTACATATCTATATATCAGCCTAAAATAACTGTCTCATTTTGTAAATGCACAGTTTAAAACCCTGAACAGGAAATAATGAAGTTATCTAGTATTACTATATTTTAAGGAATTTACATTAATTCTTTACTGCAAGAAAATAACACTACACCTTATTTATTTATTTATTTATTTATTTATTCATACAAGAAAAGTACATTTAATTTAAAAACATTTGGTTCCACAAAGACTGTTAGTATGCTACTTGCCTGCATAATAAAAGTAATAATCTTGTTAGTCTAGATTCAATCTAATACTGAGTATGTGATATCTAAATAAATTTCACTAGGAACAAATCTGACCTTCAAATTAAGATCCAGAAAACACTAGAAAGATTAATAAATATTTCAAAGCTCTTTGTCATTCCCAAAATATCAAGTAATTTATTCATTTCTTGCTACTATTTGGAAGCAGTCTCATTTACTTAAGGAGAATCTAAGAAAGTCATCAATCATACTTAGCAACAAGTTGTTAAATTAAAAGAAATATACCATGAAATTGCTCCTGTAAGACAGCATTAATATGTAACTTTCAAATGCTATACTATATATGACCCAAATAAAAATTCAAACACAATCTTCAATATTTCAATACAAATAAATATACTCACAGATAAAAACTCATAGATTAGGAAAAACCAAATAGAAAACATTAATATAAAGTACTATCCAAGAAACTGAATATAACAAGTGTTTCGTTTTATTCTCCATCACTAAATTATCTAAAACTAGATATCAATACCACTTTAGTGCAAAATATATAGAAGCAGTAAAAAAAAAATACTTAACTCTAAACTGAATATATGAACAAAACTTACTGTCATCCATTTGGAGACTTGGTGGGCAGTAAAATTTCTTATGGGTAATTAAATTTGGTAATCCTCTAAAGAGACTACGGCATAATTTACATTCAAAAATCGTGTCCACATCTTTTAATAAAATATGTTTAAGTTGTTTGGTTCCTGGAAGAAAAAGAAATATACAAAAGTTAACTCTGACCTGTACTTTTAAATAAGGTTTTAATTATTGATAACCCAAAAAAAGGTGTTACTCTGAAAACAAAATGCAGACAGTGCCAATTTCTTTTTTATTTTTTAAATTTATTTTTTTATTAATTACAGTTTATTCACTTTGTATCCAGCTGTAGCATCCTCCCACATGCCCTCCCAATTCCACCCTCCCTCATCTCCTCTCATTGCCCTCCCCAAGTCCACTGACAGGGGAGGTCCTCCTCCCCTTCTCTCTGACCCTAGCCATTTCTACCACAGAGTATTTATTAACTAAGTGATAAAATAAATTCCAAGCAAATATTATATGATTTGGCAATTTAGACAGCCAAAACATGATGCCCATTTTCCATTTCAGTAGCTAATCAATTCACTGAATATACCAAGGCAGTGGTTTTGACATCTGATTGAGCATTACATTGAGTTGAAAATACAGATATGCATTGCTCTCTAGACAAGAAAATGTTTCCCATCATTCCTGCAAATTTTCTGCTGGTTCTGCCAGCTCTTTTCTAAATCTGGAGGTGAAAAAATAAGGTGGTTTTTTTTTTTTTTAACACATTTCCCAATTCATTAAAGGTCCAAACTCTTACCACAGGACTATGACCATCCTTTTAAAATTCAGTTTATATTACTACGGGCTCTGGGCCAACATGGAATTGTACTACTTGGTAATAAAGCAGGGGATCTTTTTCTCTACTGAAAGAGAATTTTGAATTTTGCTCAGGCTTCTTGACGGCACTACCAATGTATATATCTCAAGCATTTATCCATGAGAACTCCTGCCCCAATTCCAATTACTTATCCCTATAATTACCATAATCCATGTCTTATCCATTTGATTATAAACTCTCAAAGCAAGCAAGACCAAGCCTACCATATTTATAACGACAAGGTGTTTGGTTCTAATAACAGAGAACTAGGGAACTGATCTAGGGAATCTAAGCATTACAGTGGAAGATCGAAAGACAGAATGACTGGCAGAAATCATCACATCTCTAAAGTATCCACGAGGCACAAAACACAAACAAGACCTGTTATTCCCTCCTACAGGTCTCTGCTATAGTAACTTACTAACTGATATAAATGCCTTAATTTTGTTCCTTTCTTTGACAAGGTATCCTGAATAATACACTTAAGATCACTTAGGTACTGAACGTTCTGTCATTTCACAAGCAGTTGCCTGTCTGTGAATCTCTGGTACTACTGAAGAATATTAACTATCTTAACATACTGTAGGGTCTACCACACCCAAACACCAGGCAGAGCTCAGAGAAACCTGCAGAAAAGGGGGAGGGAGGACTGCAAGAGCCCGAGAGGTGGCGGACAGCAGGAGAGCACAGCCCACAGCATCAGCGAAGCAGGGCTCACACAGACTGACGTGGCAGTCATGGAGCCTGCCCGGGTCTGCACCAGGTCCTCCGTGTACATGCTGTGGTGTTTAGCTTGGGGTATTTGTGGGACTCCTAACAGTGGGAGTGGGGCGTCTCTGACTCTTTCCTGCTCTTGGGACCCTTTTCCTTCTACTGGCTGCCTCACCCAGCATGGATGAGGGTTTACACCCAGTGCTGCTGCACTCTGTCATGCCACGCTTGGCTGCTGTCACCCGGAAGCCTGCTCTTTTCTAAGGGAAAGAGAGGAGCAGTGACTCTGGGCAAGAGCTGAGGTAAGGATTGGAGGAACCCTGGGAGGAGGGGAGAAAAAAGAGGCTGCACTTGGGATGTACTACATGAGAGAATGATAAGTAAAAAGAAAAAAATTGTAAGGTCAATAAAAGTTCAATGTTTCTAACCCAAACTTTAACCATCTATTTATATTTACATTTGACTTTTAAGGGCATATTTTACCGTCATTTCTAAAATAGGTCAGACCTCAGAATTCTATTGGAAAGATAATACAACTAGATAAGATCACATTAACAAGTCTTATCTTACTTGTTAATCTGATCTTATCTAGTTGTATTACCTCCTACACACACACACACACACACACACACACACACGGTTTCTTTTTGAAGCCCTGGCTGTCCTGGAACTAGCTCTATAGACCAGATCCACTGCCCTCTGCAGGAGACCTGGGTTCAGTTCCCACCACCCACATGAAGGTTCACAACCATCCATAAGTCCACTTCCAGGATCCAACCACCTCTCTAGCCTCAGAAGGTACCCGGCATGCACACGGTGCACAAACATGCTTACAAGCAAAACACATGCACAGACAAAATAAAAATAAGTAAGTCTTTTAAAAGAATAGTCCTCACTAAAGGAAAAAAGACTGAAGAAAAACAAAGACATCTATTTAACTAAAACACGCAACTAAAGGGCTGAGAAAGATAGCTCAGTGGTTAAAAGGACGTTCCAGACGGATCCAACCTCTCTGGCCTCGATACAGTACATGTACATTGAACTCACATGACCCCCACCCCCACCCCACCACCCACGCACACAATTAAGAATCATTTAAACATTAAGATTTTAAATTCAACTCTAAATTTACTTGAGCAAATAGCAGCATATTTAAAGCATTACCAATCTTATGTAAACATGAGGTTATAACTAAAAGAAAAAAACAGTGAAATATAAAAGACTATATCCTTAAATTAGGTAACCACCTTGTCCACAAGGCGCTCTTGATTGTAAAATAAATAAATAAATAAATAAATAGATAAATAAATAAATAAATAGATAGATAGATAGATAAATAAATAAATAAATAAATAGATAAATAAATAAATGAAAGAAAGAAAGACATCAATTTCTTAATTATTCCTAGTTAAATAGCTATATTTAGTAGAGAGTATATTACTTATTCCCAGTAGGCATTTTTAAAAAGTATCTCCTCTAACCTGTAAGTTATAAACACTTTCCTCAAAATGCAAGCACACACACAGTATTACTACTGACTCAGGTACCAATGTCTTGTCAGAAATACAACAAATGTTCTCTTGCTCCTCTGTCCTTCATATGCCATTACCCACATTATTCTTACTAGAACATCTCCTTCCCTAGTCTGATTCACTCACAATACCTTCAGACCCAGGTCAGACGTCATTTCTGCCAGGAAGCTTTCTCTGACCTTTCATCTAACTGCTGGGGTGGTGCACGTCTTTAATCCCAGCACTGAGTAAGCAGAGGCAGGCGGACCTCTGTGAGTCCAGGACAGCCAAAGCTACACAGGAAAACCCCGTCTGGAAACACCAACAAACAAGAACAAACAAACAAGAAAACAGCCGCTACCCCTGCACTGTTAATGCATCTCGCCATCTGCCCTGCTGCCCGCACCGTCCTGCGCTTACAGGGTTCTATGCCCCACGATGCCGAGACCTAGGACAGTCACCTTTGGTGCTCACCTCTGTGTCCCACCCCCAGGACAATGCCTGGATGACCTTACTAACAGCTCTCTAGATACGGTGTCTAATAAGACAAAACATTCACACATGAGAAAGGTCAACATGTCTTGTTGCATAAGCAGATATTAAAAAGGTTCCTCTACTTTCAGCTACCATTTAAGATGCTATATTTTTTTCCCATCAGAACAGAATGGGTTTATTTAAAATCAGCTACCATTTTTCTGATTGCTTTGTCACAAACAGACAAAGCCTTTGTCATAGTAAAACCCCTCCTCACCTGAGACATAGGCTTGGTTATGTAGACAGCAACATGAAGTTTGTCCACACTCTTAATCCTGACAAAAAGTCATGCTCATTGTCTCCTTTTTTTAAACATTTGCTCTTTCTTGCTTATCTTCTTAAATTACCTTAGAAATCATTACTTACTGCTTAATAGATCATCAACCATGATCTTAACTGGAAAAACAAAAACAAAACAAAACAAAAACTCCACCAAAGCATAAGAGCTTTGGTAGTGAACACGGACATGCACAATAATAAATTTATAAGTAGAATAAAATTCCTTGTTTTTGATTGCTGAGTAGTGTTCCATTGTGTAAAAGTACCACAATTTCTGTATCCATTCCTCCACTGAGGGGCATCTGGGCTGTTTCCAGGTTCTGACTATTACGAATAAAGCTGCTGCGAACATGGTTGAGTAAATGTCCTTTTGTGTACTTGAGCCTCTTTTGGATATATGCCTAGCAGTGGTATAGCTGGATCTCGAGGTAGTGCTATTCCTAATTGTCTGAGAAAGCGCCAAATTGATTTCCAAAATGGTTGCACAAGTTTACACTCCCACCAGCAATGGAGGAGGGTTCCCCTTTCTCCACATCCTCTCCAGCATGTACTGTCACTGGAGTTTTGGCCAGCCACAGAGGAGGACACTGCAGCCACTCCTCATGAGACCTGATAATCTAAGGTCAGATGGAAGTGGAGGAGGACCTCCCCTATCAGTGGACTTAGAGAGGGCCATGAGAGGAGATGAGGGAGGAAGGGTGGAATTGGGAGGGAATGAAGGAGGGTGCTACAGCTGGGATACAAAGTGAATAAAGTGTAATTAATATAAAAAATTTAATTAAAAAATAAAATAAATAAATAAATAAATAAATGAAAGTTTAATATAAAAAAATTCCCTTAAGACTGCACCTACCTGATGATGACTATTTCATTTTACCCTAACAAACACTTAATGGCACACCTAGTATCACACACAACACTATTCACCTCACTGGAAATATGTAGTGAAGAATGTGGTTCCGTGACACTAAGAATTTCAAACATGTATAACTACCTGTTCTCTCAAGATCATAATCCGAGAAGACATGCTTGGAAGATGAATGCTAAAAATAATAAATCAACCCAGTTTTAAATTTTAATCAGTCCCATTTTAAATTTCCTGTAATTGCTATGTAACAATCAGAAAAATTCCATCACAGGCAGAAGAGACAGTTCCAACAGTGAGAGCACTTGCTGCTCTTCCAAATG